TGAGAGGTGGCAGGAGCTGGAACTGCCCCACAAGGCAGGTTTTGGAGGGAGAGGCTGACAGGGTGCTTGTTGTCTGTGCTCAGAGGATAGATGTGTCCCAGTTCTACTCAAGCCTCCAAGTTCTTGCTTTCAAACTCTGTGGCGTGGGCTGTAGTGTTGTTCCTGATGCTGATTCTGATTATCCACAGGCAGGTGCTGGATAGTAGAATATAAAGTGGTGTATCTCTTGTGCCTGTGTCCTCAAATGCAGTTTCCTCCTACATTGACCTTTATTCACCAATTTAGTCTTTGTATTTTTTTACCACAGTAGAAAGAAAGTATTTCAGTCTGGTGTTGCTGGACCACATTTCCTCTGTATTCACACGGAAACCCAATAGTCATTTTTCCCTCCTATGGGTAGAGTGGTGGGTAAAGTGAAGGTTGCGAGGAAGGGTTTTCCCTCTAACACTATTCCTCCTTACAGCGCCGGTTCCTGTTTCCATTCTTCGACTCGGCGTACCAAGGGTTTGCCTCTGGCAGCCTGGACAAGGATGCCTGGGCTGTGCGATACTTTGTCTCCGAGGGCTTTGAGCTCTTCTGTGCACAGTCGTTTTCCAAGAACTTTGGGCTCTACAGTGAGTGTCTGGCAGTAAGCTCGTCCAGTAGCATCATACCCAGACAGATGGGGCTGGCATGCTGAGGGGTGGGGAACGCTCTGCTTTGCCATGATGTGTGGAACCAATGGCTCATGTATCTTGGCGTGTCCACAGACGAACGTGTGGGGAATCTGACTGTGGTGGGGAAGGATGCAGACAACGTGCAGCGTGTGCTTTCCCAGATGGAGAAGATTGTGCGCACCACTTGGTCCAACCCTCCGTCCCAGGGAGCCCGAATTGTGGCAACTACACTTTCTTCCCCCCAGCTCTTTGACGAGTGGTACGTGTTACCAGGACCAGTGGGAGGGGGAAAGGGAGGGAAGGTGTCTCCCTAGGTGCCAGGCTTGGCCAGATGGCTTCAAAACAGATGGGTGCCTATCCTCACACTCTGCTTCCTGCCTGTTGCAGGAAGGGCAATGTGAAGACAATGGCAGATCGGGTCTTACTGATGAGGTCAGAGCTCCGGTCTCGACTGGAGGCCCTTGGGACCCCTGGCACCTGGAACCACATCACGGAGCAGATCGGCATGTTTAGCTTCACAGGGTTGAACCGTAAGTTATCAAGTGGCCTGGTGAGGGGAGGATTGGGTGAGGACAGTTTTGCTGTGGGTGAACTGGGCTGAAGCAGTCCAATCAGTAATTTCTCAGGGGCCTCACTGGAGTTTTGGCTAGGCAGATGTGGCAAGGCAGGAATGAAGCATCAGACAGCATTTTAGTAGCCAGTGCTTGAAGTTTTGTGCTTGTTGTGAAAGATTCAAGCATCCCTGACTGCTTCTTTGGGCTTTTTTGACTTTTGGGTCACTGTTTTGACCTGATGTCCAATTATTTCCCCAGCTAAGCAGGTGGAGTACATGATCAAAGAAAAACACATCTACCTGATGGCTAGTGGGCGCATCAACATGTGTGGCCTGACTACCAAGAACCTGGACTATGTGGCCAAGTCCATCCATGAAGCCGTCACAAAAATCCAATGAAGCACATGAACAACCAAACTTTCATGAAGTCACCAAAGCTGTAGTGTGTAGTCCATGTCTTTCTCTTCTCATGGCTTGCCTTGTCCCACATTTCTTGGGGTTAAATAAAGATGGGAGCTGTAGCTCAATCAGGGATAATCATCTTCTGAACTTATGTAGGTCTCCCTTGCAGTATGGTAAGCCGGTGCCCCCCAGGAGGGTGGGGACAGCATGAGCCAACTTGGCTCTTGTTTCACTGACAGCAGCCTGGTCTTCAGGGTCTCAGAGCTGCATCTTTAGCCCATCCAAATCAATTCCATGTGACTGACAACTTTGATCGAGGTGAAGTCTGGTACCAGTGCAATGTGCTGTGGGGTAACAGCCGAGTGGTTGGGATCTTGTATGGCCTGTGAACTAATGTCACTCACTAGTATTCTAGGGAGGGGTGAAGCTGTTGCTTGCTTCTCTGCGCTCCCCCTCACCCCTTTCTGATGTCTGAGCCTTATGCGAGCAAACATTTGTAATTGTTATAATTGCTTCTTTGTGTTGCTGACAGAAAATTAAACCTCCGTCTCTATACACTACCCCTGCCTTGTGTGATGTTGTGTCTTCAGGCTGTATTAAGCTCTTCCCAAGCTGGATTTAAAGTATCAGCATGCTGGTTTGTCCACCGGTTCTTAGTCTGTTTCAGAGCTGTCCCATTCTCCCTCGTGGTGTGTTGCATCTCTGACGGTCACAGCTGCTACTAATGGAGGAGTCTTACTGGGAGAGTGTAGTTGAGACCTCCCTGTGACTCTGCATGGAGCCAACCAGTTCCTTCCATGTCCATCTTGTGTTCTTCTTTCTGCCTCCCTGCCCTGTGCTGTCCAGCTCATCCTGTCTGTCTATATATGCTTGCTTTCTGGGTGGCCATGTGTTTCCCAGCCATCTGGCCGTCTTCCTGGCCCAGAGCTCCTGGGCTGCCCCTAAGGTGTCAAAAAGTGGGTCTTTCCTGTTTCTCCCTTTCATTAGGCCCCTGGTGAACCACCATCTACTCCCTGTGGCTTCAGTGGGGTCTGCCAGCACCAGCCTGTGTTCCTGGCGTTGAAATGGAGCTGGGACCATCTGCTTCTGCTCTCTGCAGTCACTGTTTGCAGATCTATTTGTGAGCCAATACTGCCACCTTAACAGAGCAGCCTCCTGACAAGGTCTTGGTGAAGAAAGGGGAACAGCTCCTTTCCATGGGTCAGTTAGCAATAGTCACTGTTGCCCTAATGCATTTGTTTGTGCTACAGCATAGACAGAAAAGGCAAAAAATGGTACCTTGTTCCATTGCTGTGTCTGCACAGTGCATGGGGTCTCTTGTCTGTGCTTTTTGGATTAGTGTTCATATCACATAAGAGAGTGAGCCAGAGGCAGCCTTTCTTCTCAGGAGACGGGGAGTTTTTTCTCCTCTTGGTGTCCATTGACAACAGGGATGATGAGGAAGTGGTTAAAGGATGACTTCTAGGTGTGATCTCAGGAGGAGTTAAGGAACCAAATCTTACACTTCTGTTCTTACAGACACCCAGGCGTGGAGCCTGGCCCACCTACCATGGTCCACATGATCTGTATCAGTGCTTTGCTAGCCTTACCAGCCTTGTTTTTCCTCAAGTGACCCAAATTTTTTCGTTTTTTGTGGTGTAAGCTCATTACCCATTATCCCATTTACCATGGCAACAGAGAACAGATTATTTCTTTCCTCTTCACAACAGCTTTTTATGTATTTGAAAACTTCCTCTCTCCCTTTCACATCCTTCACCAGTTAAGATTAAGTGACCCTGTTTCCTTCAGCCTTTGGGGTAGGCTGTTTTCCAGCCCTTGCTTTCCTTTGCTTTTCAATTACTGTGTTTCCTTAGAAGGGCAGTGCCCACACAGGGATGCAATTATTCTACCTGAAGTTTTATCAGCCTGGGTGGACTATGAGATTTCTGTCATTATTTGTCAGGCTTTACTCCAGCACATATATCCCACTATTGTGTTTGCAGTGGTGTGATATTAACTCCTTTTCTTCCCTAGTCCTTGTCTGCACTGCTATGGCATAACCCTCTGCATGCTTTCCTGGCAGCAAGACTGACAGAGAGCCCAGGTTCTTGGAGAGAAATTGGGAAGCACTTGTTGACCTGTTCCTCTACCTGCTCCCTTCAGTGATGCTGAGTCCTGCTACTCCAGCCACCCCTGGCCCTGGGTATAAGGGCAGCCCGGCCTGGTAGGAGGGGTTAGTGTGTCTGGAAAGATTGACACAGACAAGGCATCGCTCAGGGAAAAATCACTTTTAATGTTAAAATCCCCATTGCGTTCAGCCTCTACTGACTGGTCTGTTCCAACCCAAAGGCTTGGCATGAGACTATCTCACACAGGCAGGTGTGTGAGGAGAGGAGGATGGTTCAATGCAACATGGAGCAGCCCCTTCTCAGGGAGGGAGGCTGCACTTGGGGATGAGTGGAGTTCTCTGCCCTGTGCCTAGCAGGGTTTGGGAGTGCTGGGCTGTGTCAATGGTCTGCATGAGCAAGGCGCTGCGAGCGTGCGTCACTAGGCACGGCACAAATGTGCTGGGGCCCTGAGCTGCATGTAGCACCCCCCAAACAGCACACTCTCCTCATGGTGGAGACCACATCTGTGCAGCACCCAGCACTGAGGGGCTCCAGGCCTTGCTGGGATGGAGATGGTAAATGATGCTAAGAGTAATTCTGGGTTGGGCTGCCTCTCCCTGCTCTGCCTGCAGGGATGCCGTGACAGACGCTTCTTCACCTTTCCTTTTTCCACCTCTTCCTTGAGACCAGATGCTACCAGGGAGCAGCTGGGCAAGGGCCCTCAGACTCCAGCTATCTGGTCCAGGCCACCTGGGTGCTTCAGCCCTGCCAGGGGCACATCCTTTCTCGCCTGGGGATGGGGCTCTGCACAAGTCCTGCAGGGAGGGGTAGCACGAGCGGGTGGGAAGGCAGCGAGCGAGTGCAGACCTCCTGCTGTTGGACATGATGAGCCTCACGGCAGGAGACCTCCATGCTGCAGACCTGGAAGACAAGCACAGCCTGGTGCAGGTGGACAGAGCTTGCTCTCTGACCTGCTGTTGCTCAAGCCTGCAGCACCTTTCCAAGCCAGGCTCACGGATACTGGTGCAGACACACATTTCTAGTGAAAACATGTCATGGTCTCACTCTGTCTCTGACATCCAGTCTGCTGTTATATCCCTTGATCCTGTTCCAGCCCCCAGCAACGTATGCCTGCATGGGCTCCAAACCACATCCTTTGGCTTTGCTGCTTGAAACTTGACTTTATGCTATTTAAATTGAGCAACCTCACTTTTTTTTTTTGAAAAAATGTTGCACCAAGAGGCAGGTTCCTACCTCCAGTCTGCGTGGGCCTCCAGCACTGTGCTCCGGCCACACTGCTGCTCAGGTGATTAATGGGGCAAGATTGGAGCTTTCCTCTGGTGTCTTCTCACTCTCCAATGATGTTTGCTGCTTGCGACCACCTGCAGCAGTAAGGGCCTAGAGCTGAAGTGCTGGGGACCAAGGGTGCTCAGGGCAGGGGGTGCATAGGGTTGGGCCAGGACCAGGTGACTTGCTCTGCCTGAGCTATTCCTAGGTGCAATTTTGCCTGCTGCTGGGGTACTGACAGGGAACTGGGCTGTCTGGCTGCTCCATATTAGCCCCATGCAGGGTGTCCCCAGGAGAGGGCTGGGGAACAGCTGACCTGGGCAGTGGGGTGCCGGGTCAGAGCTCTCCCCTGGATGCTCCCTCCCCCAGTAATTCACTCACTGAGAGATCTCAACAGCCTCCTGCCCAGTGCCTCCTCAGAGCTGCTCGGTGATGAGCCAGTCCCGGCTTCTCTGTCCGGAGACTCTGCTTCTACGACGGTCTCGCAGCACTCACTGTCTGCAAAAGCCCAGCATGGCTGCAGCACCTCACAGCACCACAGCCCTTGCCACCCCCAGGGTCAGGTAAGTGTGTCCCCCCCGGCCAGACTCACTCTGCCGCTTGCTGTTCTCCTCATTGTCAGCCAGCTCCTCCTGGATGAAGGGGATGCCCTCCATGCGCAGGAACACCGACTCGCTGGGACTGTGCAGCCCCTCGGAGTGGCTGCCTGCAGGGACACAGGGCAGGCGTAGTGGCAGGGCAGGGAGGTGCTGTGCCCTGGGGCAGGATGCAGCAGGATGCCAGCTATGGCAGTAGGTCCCACTGCCAGAGACCCCGGGGACACAAGGGCATGGCAATGAGGATACATGCCTGCAGCCTGGCACCTGTGCGCATGTGCAGGCACAGAACAGCATTCACAGGTGCGTGCGTGCAAATGCCCACGTGCCCCACTCCATGTGCAACCTCATCTCAGAGGTGGTGTGTGCATCATGCCAGAGGGTCCCAGCACAGAACCCCCTGGGGACATGCAGCATGTGCCTGTGGCAGGGACGGAATGCTGCTGGGTGACTCACACATGATGCTGTTCCTCTCGTTCAGGAGGGTGGTGGGGTCCTCCTTGGGTGTCTGTGGAGTCCCTCGCGTGGTCGAGGCCTTGGTTGAATCCCTGTCGAAGGTGTCCATGTCGGGGGACTGGGGTGAGCTGTCCATACGACTGGCCACCAGTGCATTGTGGTACTGCTGCCGGGTCACCTGGGCACACAGACGTGCGCCCAGCTCAGTGGGCACCAAGCTCCACCAGGACCTCATGGAGACCTGGTGGTACCAAACCTCTGGACAGCAGGGGTAAGTATGGGACTCCCCAGCACCCACAGGGCACCCACCAGACTCCTGAGGCACAGTGGGGTAAGAGGGTGCCTGGGCAGGGGCGGCCAAGGTGGGACAGTCCCTGCCAGCCCAGCCCGTACCTTGACAAACTGCACGTCGCAGAGGATGTGCACGGAGTAGTCAGGCATGTAGATGTTGTTGCTGCTGCTGTGGAGCTGCGTGCTGCTGCCCCCATAGTCCTCCCGGTTGGGGGACTCGGAGCGGTTGAGACCGCTGCACCGTGACGGTGACCTGTTCACTGTGGGAGGGCACAGCAGAGAGGCAAACACTCACTTGCACTTGTGGTGCTGCTTGGGTTCCCAGAGCCAGTGTAGGGCCAAGATGCACCAGTCACCTCCAGTAGCTATTCCCTAGGACACGAGGGCTGGCAGGGGCCCTGTGGGGGACCTGCAGTTGGGTCTGTAGCACATGCTGGCAGTGGAGACTCTGCCATGCCAGCCCCACAGGACTGGGCAGGCATCTGACTGATGCAGGCAGCAGAGGTTAGGGCTGCTGCCTTCCTCTCACACCGCCTGACTGACAGCTCTCCTGCTAATGCTGGCCCTCTGCACGGCATTTGGCACAACTTCTCCTGGTTGCAGCTGGCAGCCCACGGGTGTTTGCTTAACCTGCCTTGAGGGCACTCTTCTGTTCACCCCGACTCTAGATCAGGAGGGGAGGCTGCCATGGCAAGCTGGCCTGTCACTCACGTGGATTGATGGCCTCTGACATGCAGCATGATGGATTTTGTCTAGTCAGTGATTTATTAGGGAACAAAGGCAGCTTGTTCCTTGTGTGTGACATCGTGCTGACTTTGCTCTGCTGCTAAAATGCCCTTTTATTACCCAGATTAGCACACAGCAAGGGAATTAGGGCGGCATGCATGCAGGGCTGCAGGTAACCATTGTCAAAAGCAGCAAGTCAAAACCCCAAGTGCTAAGTGCAGGAAACTACAGAAAGCACACACCAAAGAAAGCCCAAGCTGTCCATGGCTCCCCACTGTTCCCATCCCATTCTTCCTGGGGTTTGCATCACATTAGGGAGTCAGCAGCAGGGCTGCTGTCCCCAGTTTGCCACCTGTGCTCCAACCAGTGAGGGGTTGCTCAGCATGGGGTGCTGTGGGTGCTCCTCTCCTGGCACTGCCTCACATAAATGGTGGAGGGGGCTTGGGGCACTATGGACAGGGTGCTGGAAAGAGCCTGCTGCATGCAGAGGTCCCTGGCCAAAGCCATGCCCTGTTACCTGGAGAGCCAGCCAGGGAGTCCCCTTTGCTGAAGGCGAAGGTACGGGACACAGAGACAGGCACTGCAGAGAGAGCGAGGGAGAAGGAAGGAGAGGACCCGGGGAAGGCAAGGGATGGGGGTGAGGGTAGGATATAGAGGACCAAGAGGAAGAATGAGAAAAATAATCAAATGCCAGCAGTCCTGGGCTGAGCTCCCACCACTGTCTCCAGCATCCCTTCCCACCCCTTTTATACCCTCCTGCTTCTGTTCTGGGGAGGTGTTCATCAATCCTGGGGACAGGGACACTGGCAGGAACACAGACTTGCATGCTGTAAATCAACAGATTGCTCTGTGATGAGGTAAGGGGAGGTGAAGCTGGTGGTGGGGGAACCAGCTCCTGCCATGCCTGTCTGCACAGTCAAACGGCTCCTTAGAGCCTTGGCATGGGTAGAAAGCATCTTCCTCCCACTGGCTGAGTACTGGCACCCTGCTCTAGCCCTTCACCAGCTGCTGTCAAGATAGGGCACTTTGTGGTCAGCTTATGCCACCTGGCAAATGGGTGGAAGCTAAATCACTGTGCTTGGCATCTGGGATGCTTCTGTATATGCAGGCACATGGCAGAGAAGGAATGTAGTCTGCAACAGGCCCTACCTCCAACCAGCCCCACAGCTGCAGGCAGGGGCTGGCAGAAACCCATTAGGGTGATGCAAAGCAAAGGGATTCATGCTAGGCTGCCTGCAGCTCCCGGCAAGGCCCCTGGGTCTCAAGAGCCTTGGGGAGATGCAGAGAAGAGCTATCCACTGGGGGATGATTCTTACAGGAACTGCAAGAAGCCAGGAACCCACATCCAGGGCTACCTTACCCATTGCCACAGAGAGGGCAAATCATAGACGCTCACTTTCCATGTTTTATTGCCATGGGTTACAGAAGCAGTGACAATTCCAAGGGCATGTTGTTCCCCCTCCCTGTGACCCCTGCCCTCCACAGCACTCCTGGGCCATGCCACAGGTATGCAGGGGTCCATGAGGGAGCACGGAGAGACCAACACGAAGTGTGCAATACACTCCTTAACACTTCCCAGTGCCTCATCTTTGCTCTCACTAGTGCCAGTGCTTGCCTCGAAAGCAGTGGGAGATGTGAGCCTGCTGGCTCCTAGCCCCCTCCTCCAGCCACTGACATGCTTCCATTAGCTTCCATCCCTCCTGCCCGGGGTGTGCTGCCCTACCTCCAGCCACTGTGCCTGCAGCATGGCAGCAATGCTCTAGGAACCATCTGCTGCCTATGTGATTAATGATTTTAAATTGCTTTGAAGGAAAAAACCCCAGAAAACTTGCCCTGCAGTCCCCTTTTCCGATCTCCCTGCTCCTCCCCCAGTAACTCCTGTTCTGTGTCCTCCCCTTCTCTCCTCTCTTAAATTAAAACCTTCTGCAAATAAAAAGGACACTAGCATGAAGCACTGCACAGAACAACCTTGTCCAGGTGGGAGCAAAGGACAAGTTGCTAACCACTGGCACTCACTCCCTGCTCTCACTGCCTGACCCTCCCACAGGGTCTGTCACCACACGCCCACACCCAGCACCAACGCCAAAGATCAGCTGGCGATAAAACAGTTGCATAACAATTAATTAATAACAAACTGTTAAATGCTCAAGGGTTAATGTCTGAATTCTCTGCTGTGATACACTACTCACACTCATTTCTGCTGGGGTTTCCTTCAAGGAGGAAGGACACCAGCCCAGCAAGGGAGATGCCCTGTCACCTCTGCCTCCCAGCTTGCTTCCTCGCTGGCCTGGGGTGTGACCCATGTCCCATGGCAGGGAGGAGTGGCTGCATGGCAGAAAACATCTCGTGACAGCGTCATGCGTGAGCACGGGGAGCAAAGGAGCCCTACGTGGCAGTGTCCCGGCAGGCGGCACTGCAGACACGTGGCTGCACTGACACGGCTCCCACTGTGGTTTGTGCCCTGTCTGGTCCATGGCACTTGGGCATCACTCACTGGCTGAGCCCCAGTGGGGCGCTGAGGACCATCACCTAGGACACGGGGGCATTGGGCCATCCAGCAACATCCCAATGGAAATTGGCCACTTCACTGATTTCCTCTGTCCAAATTGAATGCACTGCGGACACATGGGGGAGCAGGAGGGCACAGTGAGGGGTTAATCCATGAGCCAACCTTTTGAATGGAAGCAAGGCAAACAGCAAGAAATAGGTGAACCCTAGAGCTGCAGGAATCACCTGCGCCAAGGGACTCCCCCTGTTCTCTCAATGACATTCCTCTTTACACCTCCCTAGATGTTGAACTTGGTGGGTTCTTGTTTTGATGAGGCACCCAGAGCATCTCGGCTTACCATCAACACTGCAGATCTGACTCAACATTTGGGGTTTGGATGAGGGATGTGACAGACTGGGGTGGGCAGCATCTCAACCTGCTTCTGAGCCACCAGGGACTAAACACTTGCAGGGGTGATCAGCAAAGAAGGACCTCACAGTCTCCTCTGATCAGAGCTCCCTCTTAACTCCTGCAAGCTGAGGATCTGCTTCTTGACCCATCAGCCCTGCAGACAGGCAATTTACTGGCACTGGGGTATCTACTCGGCTAATTTACCATCACCACATGCAAATAACTGACAGGTAAATTTACCCATATCTGCAGTTCCTAAGCAGACCCCATTCCCCCAGTGTGGGATCCATGTTCAGCTCATGCTCTGAGCCTTGGGAATGCAAACAGGTCCAGAGATGTTATACTGAGACCATAAGCACTGTGCCAGAAGTTTCAGGGTTTACTGCTCCCATCAGCATGAGCATGGCAGTGCCCCTTGCAGTGCCAGCTATGCTTGGGACCCACCTGCAGAGATCCAGCACATAACAGAAACTTCAAAGACCTCGGAGTCCCTCTGTGGGGACTTTGCTGCATCAGTCCCTCAGCATGTTGTTTCTCTACCAAGGTCTTTAAGGGTTGACCTCAACACAGAGTCTGAGCTGCTCTGTGTGGGGTGAAAAGCCATCCTTGTCCAGCCAGCCAGTGGTTCAGAGGAGAGGTTTTAGGGCCCCATCCTATCCTGAAATACTTACATAGGAAGGAGGATCCAGCCAGGCTGCCCACTTTTCGTACGTCGTTATCTGAAACAACAACTGGAGGTGTGGAAATAGCAGAAGGGCTCCCACTTGCCCCACACCCCACAGCAGGGCCACCCAACCCCACGGCCAGCCCCTTCTCCTGGCTTAGCCTCCATGGACACTGCTGAAGTGAAGGCCAGAGGGAGCTTGTAGAGGCCTCACCTGAGGAGACAAGAGCCATGATGGCAGGGACACCATAGTAGGTGAATGCCCCGTTCTCAAACCGCAGTCCTTCCTTGCCAATCTCCACCTCCACTTTCCCCTGGAAGAAGGAAAACCCTCTCAGACAGGCACCCTGTGCTCCTGGCCACCAACTCATCCAAGGCTGCAGAGTTCCCCACTGTCCCATACAAGATGTGTATCTGCTGGCAGAAGCAGCCCAGAACAAGGTGGTGAGGAGAAAATGAGGCCACCCCCTGCCATCCTCTCCTTGCTGCTGCCCCAGGCACCTGCAGGATGAGGACGAAGTAGTCAACTGGGCGGTTGCGCTGGAAGAGGTAATGCTCTGGTGCCTTCTTGTTCTTTCGGTCATACTTGAGCTCCTGGATGACGTTGGGATGTTTTAGGAGCCGCAGCAGGATCTTCTCAGAGAGGTAAGGGGACTTGAAAGGCTCCACTTCTAGAAAGGAGGCAACACATGAATGCTCAGCAGGGAATCCCTCATCCTCTGAGCTGCACAGCATCCCTCCTGCAGCCTCAGCACCCTGCTGACTGGAGGGGACCTAAATGCAGACCCACACCAGTGGGATGCCCAAGTTGTGGGTCCAGGCAGGTGGCAACTGCTCAGTGAGGGGGAGCCCAGCCTGGGAACAGCTTAGGGATGCACTGCAGGGCTGGTGCTGCTGCAGGGAGCTGCAGGGCTTGCACAAGGGCAAGCATACCTGTTGCCATGAACCGATGGGTAGCCAGGAGGAGCTGTGGGGAGATCTTCACTTTCATCTCACTCTCTGAGAGCCTGAAGATGGAGAAGTCCTGGGGCTTGCGTCCCCGGTGAACCCGCTCCTTCTTCCGATTGTCCGCTGCAGGCAGAGCAGAGTGGTCACTCAGCTGCAACAGCCACAAAGCTGCTGTAGCTGCAGGGCCCCATGTCACATGCACACGCATAGAGAGGCACGTCTTGCTGCACCCTATGGCAGAGCCGCTGTGGAGCAGCAGATGGAGCAGTGGGGTACACAGAACATGCTGTGCATCACAGGCTTGGGAGCAGCTCTCTGGGCAGGGAGCAGAATTGTGAAATACGCTTCTTCCTCAGGAATAGGTCCTGGGTTGCCCTGGCTGGATGCATCACCCAGAGTTGCAAAATAACTTGGGAACCACCCATTGGCATTTCATGCCCAACATACATGCTCCTGCCTAGCCACCAGCTTGAGTACTCAAGACTCCCTGACACCTGACCAGCATCTCTCCATCAGTTTTCCCTTTCCCACCATGACAGTGAATTTCTCTGGGGAAGGGCAACAATTCACTCCGGCCCATTTCCTACCCACACGTCAGTCTGTCTGTGCAGGCTCCCACCCTGGCTCCTGCAAGTAGCTGGTCTTGGACACTAACTGTACAGATCCGTCTCATCCAGGATCTCGGACTTGATGATCTCCTCAATGACATCTTCCAGTGTGACAATGCCCATCACTTCATAGAATGGGTCTCCTTCCCCTTCGTTGTTCACCCGCTGCACAATGGCCAGGTGGGACTTTCCTGCAGGAGCAGAGCAGAGCAGCAGTGAGACACCCACCCTCGGTGAGAGGGGTCCCCAGCATGGCAGGCGGGAAGGTGGACAGGGTTTGGTGGGAGGCACAGATCACAACCAAACCTCAGAAGCAACGACTATCACTCAAACCCACCCCAACTGCACTCATCCAAGGAGAAGGGCTAGACATGCAGTCCAGCCTAACAGGACTGCTGCTCCCCAAGCTAATTTGTAGATGTCACAGGCTCTTTTGGGGGCCACTTGCTTTCTTCACCCAAGCAATTGGCTGTGAGTCACTCTGAGAGCCTTCTGTGCAGGAATGAAGTGTACATTATACCAGCTGCTTCCTCCTTACTCTCAGCTTCACTGGCATGAGACAGCTCTTAACAGAGCAATGAGACAATGTTCTCCAACACAGAAATGTGTGTCCTTTGGCTCTACTGGTTTCCCTCATCCTCCTAGTGTTTTCTCATTCTGTTGTTAATTATCTTTCCTATCAAATTGTCAGAAACAGTTCCTCCACATCTTTCTATCCATCACTGTCTGGACCGAATCTAAGTTTTTTTCTTAAATTACAGGCAAAGCCTCCAGCTTCTTGGTTTTAATGCAGAAATGTGTACACTTCTTTGCAGCTTTCAGCCCAGCTCCTGCAGAACTCTTGGGTGAACCATCTGGATTCAGACACTGAATGCTTTTTCAAGCCATCAGCTTGCACCTGAACTACTTCTCCAACCCTGCCCTTGACAGCATCTCCTCTCTGCTACCTTAAACAAGCAGAGTCAGACCAGGACCTTCAGCTGCAATGATGGTGACTCCTGCTTGGAAGTTGCAGTGTTCCTCAATCAGTTTCAGCTTCCTCATTTGCCCCCTGTAAGTTGGCAGCCCTGCTGACACATTCTCAAGCTTCTTGGTTTTGGCATACTTGAAATGCTTCTATTTGGTTTTGCATGTCCAGCTCTCTGTAAGCTGTTTTGACTTCTTTAACATCTCGCTTCTGTTACTGACTGCTCTGATTTATGCTCCTGTTCAGCAGCTTGATCAGAACCCAACTTCCAGGCTGCAAACAATTTCTGGTTTTCTAGCTCCAATGTATCCTTGGACCCGACAATGAACAGCACTGGTTTTCTTACTGCCCCTGTGGCTCCTACACTGCTCAACAAAGCACACAGATTCTGAACCTCTAGTTTTACTTAAGTTAAAAGTGTCCTCATCTGCACCACAGCCAACAACTTCCCATCCCTCTGTTTGCTCTGCATCCCTGAGGTCTCCTTTTGCAATGCCTGTACAAACTCAACCTTATTTTCCCCATGGGCTCAGAGCTGAGCTCCTTGAGCAGCACTGGCCACCCACAAGGGGGGCAGGTCCCTTCTGCTATACAGCTGCCTCTGCACCTGCTTCTCCCAAAAACCCTTCCCAGTGAGCTAACCTGCTGCTCCAGGCAAGGGGATGTGAACAGTATTTATACATAAAGATGAAACAGGGTGGGCTCCTGCCTGCTGCACAGCTCCCTCCTCATCCACTGGTGCCTTCCTGCTCACCCCTGCAGAGGTACTGGGACGAGCACACACAGAGCAGTCTGGCAGTCCCACAAAAACATCTTGCTGGGGACCATGCAACCTTCAAATAACCCTGCCCTCGATCTGAGATGAGCAAATGACATTTCTCAGCCAAAGATCAGCATTATACATTTCTCACAGCATATCTTGGGCATTTTCCACAGCATAAATTCCCTCCTCCTCATACCAAGCTTTTATTGCAAGATTTCAGAGAGCAGCTCACTGCCTCCCACGCCTACAGATTTAGAAATGAGAACATAACATCGCAGTAAGTAGCACTGAGATGCACTTTAAAAAACCAAATCAATAGCCTTGGGGCACTGAAAATTCCGCATGTTCTTTGGACTGGGCTATTTCACTCCTCTCATATATAGCTTTGTGCATCTTGTCTGTTCCTTGGGTAATAAAGCAACACGGCACTTAAAGAGAAAAAAGTAGCAGAGTTGGCTGCAAGACAGCAGCAACAGCTATGTTTCATCTTAGCAAAGTCCAGCTTTTGAAAATGTCTCCTTTGCCAAACTCTGCTCCCAAACACTGGGGCCATCTGGTCTCCTACAAGTCCTCCAGTGAGCAAGGAGAGGGGGGAAGTTACTTCTTTTGGCTGAAAGCTTGCCGTTAATGACATTTACATGCAACCCAAAACCAGCAAGTCCTTACAAAAAGCTTAGGTGCTACTTAAAAACAGTCAGAGAGTGATGGAAGCAATTCTTTTTTTGGCCAAACACCTACATTGTCACTGTAATTTACTCTAGAGCAGCCTCAGAGAAATGTGATTCCAGCTCCATGCTCATGCAGTGGCAAATGAGATTATCTGGAAATAACCCAGCACTGTTAGCCAGGAAGGAGACCCATGGTTTCACTGTGTTGGGGGCAGAGCCAGTAGGGCTGTTAGGAAACTGAAGAGTTCTTTATTTTCATAGAAAATAAACACTTATTGCCACACTACAAACCTCCAGGTTTAGGTTTCCAGGCTAACACCCATGTTAGAGATGGAGTAAGTACCCAGCAATGGAAAACTGTTGCAGTTCATATGGTTGCTCCTGCCCACACCAAGCGAGCAGATCCCAGCCCATGCCCAGCCAGCTGGTATCCATGCCACAGAAAGCCTTGGATCCCAGCCCTTGCAAATGACTGCTGCTCTCAGCTGTTCCCCTCTGGGAAAGGGCTGACTTGCCCCAATTTCCTGCCTGAGGGACATGAGATCATTTGCAAATTTGTGCCCCCAGCCCCCCCCCCAGCTGGGTCCTGTGTCTCCTCCCATCAGTTTTTTAACAGACCCTATAAATTTGAGTGGAGGGCTTACAGGTGTTCTGGCTATACGGTCATGGCTTGCTCCCTCCTGGGCTGAGGATACTGCCAAGATCAGCTGTATCCCTCTGCCCAGCCCTGGGAACTGCTACACTCGCAAAGAAGGAAAAGCAGTGGCCTTTGAAGCACATACAAGGGCAGAATCTGGGCAGTTTTATAAGGTGGAAGCAATGCCTAAGGGAGGGTAGCACAGAAACAGACTTGGGGATGCCAGAGGGGTCACATTCTCCTCTGCAGCCATTATCCTGCAGGTCAGCCTCAGTGGGAGCACAACAGAGGGAGATAAATCATTTACGCAAAACCCCAAACTTGATCTAAACCAACTTTAAGATCTGTAAAACTGATTCCAAAAACTGTACTATTGTAACCATTTCTTGATAGCTCAAATGAGATGAATTATAAGGGTGAGCTGCCTCCCCACTAAGCAAGCTGTCACATGTAAACTTTACAGGGCTATCACTGATGCAGGAAAGCACAGTGAAACACTTGAGAATCAAAGCCTTGGTTTGGCAAATACTAGAACAAATGGGCAATTAACTTTCCTTGTGTGAATAGCTTTGCCAGCCTCCACAGGACTGCTCTCAAACAGGAAGTCTATAGGTGATTAAGTGTCTGCTCAGCATGGGATACAACTGCACTAAATTCTTTATGAGCTACATGAAATCTGCTCTTTTCAAACAACAGCTTCAGTGGAAAGTTAATGCCTCAAAATGCTAAATTACAGAGCTAATATAAACAGCTGAGAGCTTCCAGATGGAGCAAGCATCCCAACAGATATCTAAGCTTTCATGCCCATTTTTAGGAGCCTAGTTTTTCATAGGCACCTAAATGACCTTGGGCTCATAGATCCACCTCAAAACATTCTCCCCAATGGGAGAACAGGTTCTGAACACATGGAAATGTCTTTACTTCTGGAACGAAAGTGCTGTTGGCTGCAAACATAGCCCAGACTACTTCTTTATCAATTTTTTATTTAGATGCTCTGCCAGAGGAATGTTAAAGATGCTTTAGCCTTGTCTTGTGTTCCACAGGATGAATGTTCTGAGCATGAAATTCATTTTCATAAATTTTATGGTAAGATCTGAAGCTCTTACTAGGAGATCAAAGGTACAGGCATAAGCCGTGAACCATTTACAGCTACAAAATGGAAGGCAAAAAAACCCAAGTAATTTTTAAATAAGGTTGATTTGTGAAACAATCTATGATGAAACTGAAGTCTACTATTTTCTGTGTGCTTTTCTTCAGACCTCTTCTCTGGGTGAAGGGCTGCCAGCATCTCTGTGCCCCCTTGCAGACCTGCATCTGAAGTAAGTGGGGACCCTGATTTGCTCTTCTTGACCTGGGAATGTGTGTTTGAGTGTGCTCTTGTGTTACCACAACTCTGCACTAAAGGTGAAACCACATGTCTGAGGAGTTGCATCTAGAGGCAATGCATTTACACCTAAACAGGGAGGAAATAATCAAGAGGGCTGCAGGGGCACCCAGCTCTACAGAAATAAGAACTACAAGAAGAGAAAACTGTAAATCCTAATCTAATCCAGACCTTCCTCAGAGACAAGAACTTCACCTGCTTACATCTGTCTGTAGCCTTTCTTATATTCTGCTTTGGTGCTTTTCACAATTCTAAGGAAAACTGGGGAAAAGAAGGAATATTTGGAATAGCTGATAAAATACCACTGACAAATCACAGCAGGAGGGTAAGGGGGAGATCAGAGTGGACACAGAGCCTCATCTTCCATCTGTTGTGCAACAGGGTTCTAACCTCCTGGGTATGACCCTGCTTGCACACATACAGTGGGTCCCCTCGCATGTTACTTGGAGCCTAAGGAAGCCTACAAGTATTCTGAGGATTTCTCAAGCTATAAATCTTTTAAGGAGTCAATGCAAAACTACTGTCATTGGTGTCTGTAACACAGGCCACTTGATTCTTTCCCACAGCTCAGTATGAAGGTGCCTTTGACAGCTCCCAAGGACAATGGCATTGCTGAATGCCTCCCCAGAGCAGGCCTGCTCCCAGGTTTATTGGGGTGGGGTGGAGCAGCCCCAGGTTTACACAGTTGAGGGAGAAAGTGCAGTAATGTTTCAGGCAGAGCTGCAGCGTGAGACACTGAAACCTTTTCATCCATTAGCAGCTCACTCACTCTCAGCCTGGCAACTGCATTTCAGGGGACTGGGTAAGGAATAGTTCCTGGGTAACAACTGGCTCCTTAACCCATACAACTGTCTAGGGAAGTCATTGCTTTAGCCCATTAAGGTGCCCAGGATAGTGGCTATAACACTTGCAGAAATCTATGAAGGCTGATTTAAATTTGAAGCAACACTTTGTGCTCACAATGCCTGCAGGCTCAGAAGGACAGTACAAAAAGAAGATGAAATGGTACTGACCCCAGTTCCTGGCAAGTGTAAGCACTTCTCCAGCTACATTCAATTTGCAGCAGTCTAAAGAGGCCGTGGAGCATTTTGAAATGGAAAGACAGCCCCTAGGGCAGAGCTGTCCTCCACAAGGCAGGCTGTTTTCCCTGTTAAGCCTCAAAGTTGGGGTTTTTTTGTGAATTTACTTTTAGTAACTCTTAAAAGATGCCAAATCACAGAAGGCTAATTTGAGTTGCAGCTCAGCTTCTGCCCTGCTGCAGGAAGATGAACATAAGAGCAAATTTCTACTGTTCCTCTGAGAGAGGAAAGTTACTTGCTGAAAGGTGCCACCGCTGTATATAGACTTCTCCAGGAAATCAGTCAACAAAACCCTTTCATGACTCGAGGAAGGGGTAAGACTATGACTTCCCAAATGCACAGAACAAGGAGGTGGACCTCACAGAAGAAGTCACCATGAGGAGTTATATCACAGGACTGAAGCTGCAACATGCATTGCCTGGTTATCTTCCAGGGATGGAGGAGAAACGGATTGCATCATCCACAGCATTTCACACTGAATGAATGCATAAATCTTTACTCCTAGCTCCACATTCCCAAGGTGAAGTTTATCCTACAGGAGGCTCATCTGCTCTTCTGCATTGCTTTAGCTTGCTAAATATGGTGCAGTTATTTCTCTGGTGTATTAGGTATTTCCTCCTGGGAGACTGAAATAAAGCCAGGTACTCAGAGATGTACCACTACAAATTGTCAAGATACTGTCTCCAAATTTTTTCACTCCTTCTTTCAAGCTCCAGGCGGCAAAATTATAGTATTCATGTGTATTTTCTTATTCCTAGCAAAGAGGGGACACATTTTGTGTAGGATACTCCACTTAGCACTTCTATGTAAATGGTGTACAACTACATATACCTTCTAGGAAGACTGTCTAGCTTGCCTGAAAATATGGCAAATTGGGTGTTGAGGCCCTATGCTGCTGTTTGCAGCCTTCTCTGGGTTTTTCCCAGTTCCCATCAGGACCCTCAATTTAATCAGCTTTCTGCAGAAATTAGTGCCAAAAGAGACTGAATAATGGCACCAACAGCAGGATTGTGAAGAGGCAGATGTGAAGAGTTTGACCAGTTCTGCTGTGATGGGGCAGGGGCCAGGTTCTGTGAACCAGGAACACACAGCTGCTCTTGGGCCTTTCTAAACAAGGTCCTGCTGGAGGAGAAGGGATTAATGACTGGTCTAAGGATTAAAATCAAGGCAAACATCAAAGCATCTTAATGGAACTGAGCACAAACAAGGTTAATGTGAGCATACCTAGAAATAAATGAAGGAAAACTTCCCTTCAAACCCTGCCATAAAAGACTACAGAGGAAATAGCTAGGATAGAACAGCAAGAAAAGAAATGCATCAGGTAAACAAGGATAATAGTGTGATATCAGTGAGTAGGAGAGACAGAAAATGAAAATGCCATTGGGACTCTTGCTCACACCTCCAAAGTGCTGTATTTAATAATTCCTTGACATTTTCAGTAGGAAAGAACAAATGTTTGTGTACTGTGGCAAGGAGCTCTGGCAGCAAAATTGTATTACTTATACATTATGCAAAAAAATGACGTTATGGGTATAGTGGATGTGGCAGAACATTAATCATTAGCGAAACAGATCAGAAGTACACACTACTATCCAGGAAAGAAAGATATAAAATGTTATGGGTATTTTGTATAAACAGTGTAATAACAAAAATAAATAAAGGATATCAAAACTGTTTGAGTTAATCGTGGGAGAAGGAAAGAAAAGCTGACAAGGTTTCTCTAGAGGCTTGTCAGGGACATAAGGACCTGAAGATGCTTATCAACACCCATCCTTACCAGAGATTTAATTTCCTAGAAGGAGACCGGGCCTTATCGGTGGGAGCATTTGCTGTCCTGTAGGCACCTTGGATGTGCGAAGTGATGAATGCCTTCATTAAGCACTTGCTGAGCCAATAAGCAATCTGCCTACTTTCTAATTGCTGGAGGTGTCACAGAAGACCTGGCCACAGAAAGCAACCTTGATTGGATCAAACAAGATACTTCACCGTAATTCAGACACAGAAAAGGAGATGGTGATGAAGACTCTCAATTACAAACGGGAAATCTTTGTTTTGGAAATTAAATAGTCAAGTGAATGGGGCTGACACAGCAGTGGATGTGGCTGAAGGCAGCTTGGAGTGAACATCTGTCACAGTGCAGGAACCAGCATGGAAACCTGTATTTGGAACTGGAAAAGAGAGTTTAGGAGGGTTCACGGCTGGGCTGGGGAGTGACTATCTACAAACTCAGGGTGCCAGGGGTGACCAGATGCCTACAAATAGGGGAAAGATGAATTGGAAGAGAACATAAACACTTGGGGAAAAGAACATGTGGGAAGCTGGAACTGCTAAACACCATGCTGAGTTAAATACTAAGACCAAAAGCAAGGCTTTTCAGCATTAATTTAGAAATCAACAATTTAGAAAACACAAGAAGTGAGGTGGAAACAGAAAAAAGTTTTTTGCTGTAGCAAAACACCTCAGAGAGTCATGATGGCAGACAGATGTCAAGGAGGAAGATCCTGAAGTGATATACCAAGAGTTTGATGGAGCAAAGTTAAAGAAGGATGGATAATCTTCATCTGAGATGAAGACTAGCACAGTAGGCAGGTAGCAAGGCTTGTTAGCATACCTGTCAGCCAAGGGAGCAGCACACAGAAAACACCTCTGTTTAAGGAGGGCAAAGAGGACAGAAAGCAAAGGGAAGGGAGCTAAACAACCACCAAATCCATTTCTATAGGTCTATTGATCTGTGGGGTACCAGGCTGTAGAACAAATTTGGAGGGGTTAAGTATATCAAAGTAAATCAGATAAATTGCAGGGGAGGCTGACCAAGGGAGAGGGTGCCAAAGTAATCTGACACCTTTGGTAACGCTGAGCTCTCTAGACAAGAGAGAAGTAGCAGAGACCTCAGGTGAACTTCAGTACTGTTGTAGTATCATGCAGGAAGACAGAATTAAGAAGGAACTACAAAGCACATAAGGAATTAGGAAGAGGAGAGACAACTGGCGGGTGCGGGGTGTGGGGCAGGCACATACTACTGCAGCTCACCAAGGCTGAACCCAGGGAGCAATCTCAATGCTTTTGATAACAGTCTTATATAAAACCCAGGAATCTGATGATTTGCACCACTGGGAGTCTCCAGCCCTGCTGAGAGGCAGAGAGGGCAGGTGATGTATGCCACACAGAACTCCTCTGCCTGTGATCCATGTGGTGGTGAGGACACAGTTGAGCATCTCCAAAGATGCTGAGCTGCATGTATCTGACCACTTTCCTGGGGCACAAGAAATGCCATATCCTCTTCTCCTCCCAGCTCTAAAAATGAGCACAGAGATGACTCACACAGAGGCTTTCTCTGTATCTGGAGTGGACCAGGTCAGCCTTCCTCGCACGACCAGCTCAGCCTGCGGCAGAGCAGCCCCAGGCAGCCCAGGAACTGGATGCTGCCCTCCTGCATTACATAATGCGGCATGTCACTGCTGCAGCCATTTCTTAAAGACTCACTCACCACAGTATGACGTACCAAGTAACACGCGGCAAAACACAATTCCCAGTGGGAGGGAAAAACACATGCTGTGCGTATTCTCAAGGTATGGTTAATGAAATACAGCTCTCAGCATCTCTGGGGCTGCTGGCAGCTGCTGCATTAGGAATGCTGTCACAGCTGCAAAAAAAGTACAGCCCTTTCTAAGGGCTTAGGTTTTCCTTTTTCCTTTAAACCCCTTGCACAGAAACACTTTATAGACCTGCTTCTTACTGCTGAACTGACAATGCGAAAGCTAAGTAATGAGATGCGATTTCCTGCCATAAACTCCTCTGCACAGAACAGAGCAGTGAATGCTGCCTTGCCTGGGTAAGGGTGCAAGGCAGGCACTGTGCCCACACTGCCAGGCCCCTGCAGAGACATCAGCCCTGCGGGACACGCTCACCTGTGGAGCCAGCAACCTGTGAGGCCAAAGGCTCTTAAAGTCTTCATAACATCACAGGCACAACCAGCACTGCAGGCCCTCGATCCACCTGGGGATGTTCTACCAGGTGACACCAGGGTCAATGCCACACCAGCACATGCAGGGCCCAACTCCCCCAAGCATCCCTGGTACCTGCTGCATCCTGCCAGGCCATGTGGGGCTGCCGACCTGGAAATCATTGGGGTGTAGAGGGGTGCAAGAGGAGCCCGGGGGCGGCGGCCCGGCAGCCTCACCCTTCTTGAACTCCTCCAGCAGCGTGTCGAGGCGCGTGTCGTTGAAGACGCAGTGGAGCGGGCGGCGGTAGAAGCGGGTGACGGTCTGCAGGGGAGTGCAGTCATCAGGGTCAACAAAGGCCAGGTCCTTGACAAAGAGCAGGTCAACAATGTTGTCACGCTGGTCACCCTCGTAGACCGGGATGCGGGTGTAGCCGGAACGGAGGATCTCGGAGACGGTGGCAAAGTCCAGCACGGCATCGGCCCGGAGCATGAAGCAGTCGGCCAGCGGCGTCAGTACATCCTCCACCACCTTGGTGCGCAGCTCCAGCGCGCCCTGCACCATGGCCAGC